AATTGCCCCATATGATTAATCCATAGTTTAGGTGAAAGTGGAATAAAGAAAAATATGTCATTTTTAATGTTTTAAAGTTGACAACCCTTGCTAGTTGGCGAATAACAAATAATGAACTTAATAGCTTTTTCTTTAGTTGTGAAATATGAGCCGACCAGTTCAGTTGATTATCTATGGTTATTCCCAATAGTTTAACAGTCTCTTTGTTATCTGGATCATTATGTAAATCACTTGCAGATATAACCAAATTTTGCGTTTTATCGGAGTTAAGTTTCAGCTTGTTTGCAGCAAACCATGTGTTAGATTTAGTAGAAACTTCCTCATAAGACATTTTTAAATCATCATTAGTTTTTCCTGATATAACATATGTCGTATCATCTGCAAATTATACGGATTTGTACGGAGATATGAATTTAGATAAATCGTTGACATAAATAATAAACAAAAGAAGTCCTAAGACCGAACCTTGTGGGACTCCACGTTTTACGGATATAAAATCGGAGAGATGGCCTTTAGACACTACCGCCTGGTGTCTGCCACATAGATAAGGAGTTATTTAAGAGGGAACCTCTGATTCCATAATAATTTAATTTGTGGAGCAAAATGTCGGGTGAAAACGCAGTCAAAAGCCTTCGACAATGCAATTGTCGCGTTCAAGTCTCTCAATTACCTCGCTTACATTATATACCCCGTTGGTAATAGACCGAGCACTTCTGAATCCATATTGTGAGTTCTTAAAGTAATTATTGGACTTAAATTATGTAAGAATAAAATTGTTATCTATTCAATCACTTTTCCAAAAGTAGAAACAATGTTTATGGGTCTGTAATTGTAGTTTTTGAGAAATTACCTTTCTTGTAGATAGGTAGTACTTTTGAGTATTTTAGTACTTCCGGAAATACTCCAGTTGATAGAATTAAATTAAGATGAGTGAAAGGTGTTAAAACTATTTGGAAGTTTCTTTTAAAATTCTGCTATTAATTTCGTGAACGTCCCTCCAATTAGAATTAATAAGAGACTTTAATAATTGAGAGACCTCTTCTTCCACAACAGGACGAAAAAAAGGACTTGATTGGAGAAGGATAATTTCTGTAATTGAAGAGGATATTAATAGCGGGAAGAGATATAATTATATTCTCTGCAATTGTAATAAAAAATTGATTTATTTTGTCTGGAGGTTGTACCGAACTGAATCTTGTATTATTTCTTTTTGAAATTTACTATTTTCCAGCAGTCTCTAGGTTTATTATTGGAATTAGTAATAAAATCACAGTAAGCTGACTTTTTAGAATTTTGTTATTGCTGATTATATTCAAATTTTTGTTGTTTATATACTTTGAACAAAACGAGATCCTTAGTGGCATCTGCAATGTGTTTAATAAGAGAAAGAATAGATCTGTAAGACCTTAATTCATTATTAAACTATTGCACGGGTGTTTTTCAACAGTTTGTCGTACTTTTTTTAGTGGAACGGGAGCTAGCAAAAGAAAATGGAAAAAAATTTTAGCCTAGATGAACAATAAAAAAAGCTTTTAGTAATGTTTTTCGATACGTAGAAAAAGTATGCCTAGTACCTACGAATCATCTGGTAAGCTTGACAAACTAATTTAGTTACAGCACTTGCTCACTCATCACTAACTTCATTTATATATAAGAATTCTGAAAGCTAAGAAAAAAATGAAAAAACCGAAGTTTGGAGATTATAGATAATAAGTATGCGACTTATTAGTTACACAAACGTTAAATCGAAAACAGCACATATTTCTGGTAGTACGCTCTATTCAAAGCTAACTATACAGTGATGAGTGCTTTACCATCCGGCTTTTTAACGTAAGAGATAGAAAACACAGTTACCTTGTGAAATAAAAAGAGATAAAATTCGTAGAGGTGGGAAATAATCGATAGAAACCTATAATTTACATTACATTGCATTACCACCATCGACAGTCTCACACCTTTAGACGTTAGACGTGGCTATTTGACTTCAGTCATAATTATACGGATAACCTCAAAAATATTTTATTTTAATAATTTTTGATGTTAGAATAAATACTTGAATAAATTAAGATATATTATAGTAAAAAACATTCATTAGTAGCGATTTTAAATTATAAATCTTTAAATTTATTTATTAGTAAAAATAACACAACTGAAATATTTGACTAAAATAAAGGTAGGTATGTTTTGTCCGAAAACAATTAATGTATGTGAAATTGGTGTAGTGGTTAGGGACGTTGTCTATTGACGAGAAAATTGGGGTTCAATTCACACCAAGGATAAAATTTTTGTTTTATAAATAAAAAAATAATGGAAAATATGATACATATTAGGTAACAAATTTTCGAAAAACTCATTATTTATAATTTATTTTTATTCCAATGTTATAAAACGGAAATACAAAATAATTCAAATTCAATTCATACAGTCTTCAGTTGTGAATGCAAAATAATCCGGTTGTTTATATCAAATCCATCACTAAATTCTCAATGTTAATATCAATTCCTCTGTACAGGTAATGATTTTCAAAACAATTGACAACATTGGAATGGATGCGCGCGAATCGAAGCCTTTAAGCCATAAAATAATAACATATAGAGAAGTGTTTTTGCACGGTAAACAGAAACTTTTTATTGAAAAAACAATTCGTGAAAATGGTTTTAACGGTCGAGGAAAAAGTGCAAATGGTTGTCTGGCATGTGAATGGATTCTCAGACAACAATTTGTAAATATGTTTCCAAATAGGCCGGCTCCATCACGATCAACAATTCAATCTATTACACGTAATTTTTTTACTTATGGATCCGTGTTCGCTCCAAGAGGAGTTCGTAGACGAAGGGAGGTAAATCCAGATTTGGAACTAAGGCACACTTTGATTTGTGCAAGTATTGAGCAAAATCCTACCCAATCAACATCTCATCTCGGAGAACAATATGGAATTTCAAGATTTAGAGTTGGTAAAATCTTGAAAAGACATGGATACCGACCCTATAAACTTCATAAATCCAACGAACAATTCCCTGGGGATCAATATAGACGTTAAGAATTTTGTCAAACTGCAATGGAAATGTCACATCAAGATGAACATTTTTTAGAGAACGTCTTGTTCACCGATGAATGTACGTTTTCATTGTATGGCCGTCACAATTCAATGAATGCTCGGTGTTGGTTCCGAGGAAATCCTCGTCAGATTTATGTCGCTCGTACCCAGCGTCCTGAAAAAGTAAATGTTTGGGGAGGCATAATAGGGAATCATGTCATTGGTCCATTTTTTATAGACGGTATGTTGACTGGGCGGAAATACTTGGAACTTCTGCAAAATCAAATTGTCCCAGCCCTTCGTAATTTACCAATTCCTTTCGATTCCATATGGTTTCAAGACGATGGTTGTCCTACGTGCACATAATTCTCGCATCGTCAGTGATTATCTCAGTGCGACTTTTCCTAATCGATTGATTAGTGGACACGGAGATATTTTTTGGCCTGCAAGATCACCTGATCTTGCACCTTGTGATTTTTTTATATGGGGATATATCAAGTCCAAACTATATGGAATTGAAGACGATAGGCCTAATTCTCTCCAAGAATTAAGAGAAAATATCTCTGATTCAATGAGAGGTATTAGTCCAGAAACATTAACTAATGTTAGACGAAACTTTTATAATAGATTGGGTTATTGTTCTGCTGCTAATGGAGGCTTATTTGAACATTTTTTGTAAATACATTTCATTAGAATAAATTACGTTTATTTAGAATATTTTTATTGAATTTCTGCTTATTTAAACATTTTTTGTAAGTACATTTATTTAGAACGTTCTTTTATGTTTATGTTTTATGAACCCTGATCCATCAGACTTTTATAATTCTTTAGTGACAGTTTGGGGTATTATTCTGCTGCTAATGAAGGCTTATTTGAACATATTGTAGATACGTTTATTTACAATATTTTTTTATTTTGTAAAATATTTACTTATTTAAACATTCTTTTAATTTTGAAGAATTTTTACTTTATTTTCGAAAGTACGACGACACTATTTTTTCAATAAGAAATTTATGTTTAACTTTAAACACTTCAAATACTAGTAACGACTGACATAAATGTTTAGTGATTCAAAGCAAAACGATCTCTGCATAATTTCAAATTATTAAAAAAAGAAAACCTCATGTAGGTTTTGAACTCTAATCATCTGCGTCGCAGAGTCGAATTCTTACCACTAATCCACGAAAAATTGCTAATTATTCTGTGACAAAAGTGTATGAAATTCCTCAAATCATAGTAGAAATTATTCTTGGTTAATAATTTAAAACTTTAGAATAAGTAATCACTATTAATTAAAATTTTATTCACATTTTTGCTTTATTGTGGTCAATCAGTTTTTACTTTATCTAAATTAAAAAATGGAAATACGTCACACATACGACGTCAAACTGTCAAACATAATAATTATGACCGAGGTGATTTAGATCGAAGGTAACGTCTAAAGGTGTGAGACTATCGATAGTCGTAATGTAATGTTATGTAAATTATAGGTTTCTATGATTATTTCCCACCTCTACGAGTTTCATCTCCTTTTATTTCACAAGGTAACTGTGTTTTCTATCTCTTACGTTAAAAAGCCGGGTGATAAGGCACTCACCACTATATATGTAATATAATGGTCGAACATATTTAAATATTTTTGTTTTTTTTATACAAATTTATTGTGTCTTATGAAGATGTTTTTTAATTATAATTTGTAGGTAATTATTTTGAAATTCCTTGGACGAAAAGTTGCACTATGCCTGCCATTACTGTGAGTGTGAGTAATGCGCGCGGCAGACGAAAACTCGTTCACGGAAGCATCTAGCCCTGCATCCGCCCAAAAGCCATCTGCGTCATTAAGTGAGAGATCGGAGATAACGTCAATCACTCTTCTTGCACTTTTAAACAGGATAGTTGGCAGTAAAGGACTTATATAATTAAAATAAAGAAAAACCATTTATATTTTATAATTTTCTTTATTAAAATCAGTAAAAAAATAAAAATTTATATCAAAATACAGAAATATGGTTAAACGAATGTGATGTAATGCAGAAGTATACAAAAATATTAATATATAAGTATGGTAACTATTTTTTTTTAATACATTAAGAATACAAAACTTTTACAAAAACTATATGCTTACAACATAAACATTAACAATAACTTCCCGTTTTACATAGAAACTGATGGGATATTATTCAGTTCGGTTATAGCGGCAAGTCTTAATCTTTATCACCAGGAAGTTCGAGTGCAAAGCTGAAAAAATATATATATATTTAATAGTTCCTCAAGATAAAACTCAAAATAGCAATACCTTTTCTGCTCCTTAAATCGCGATCTGTTGAGATTATAATATGATACTAAGTCTGTAAAATATTTTCCATAGGCTTTTGAATTATCTTGATAGATATAGTTAATAATCTGAAATACAAAAATGATGTGAGTTTGGTGATCATTATTTCAACTTTTAGGTAGAAAAACAAACTCTGCCTGTATTGGTGTGGGGTGAATTGAGTAGCTCTACAACCGATGCAGCCGGTCCCAAGCCCGGATAAAAGAGAAGGAACAGAGGAGTAACACCTCTAAAAAACCAGGGTTCAACTGGCCCGGTTGATAGCACCCTGTAAGGGCTCCTTGTCTAGAATTACAAACGAAGGGTAGGTGATACTCTTAATCTGCGATGAAAGGAAATTGTCTAGAAGAAGGAAAACTCCAAAATTAAACCCTGGCATCCAAGCCGGGATTTGGGGCATCGGGCTAATTCCCCGTTACTCAGAAAAAAAAATGTTAAAAAACCCAGCAAAACGCCTCAGAATAAATCGATCAACAAACGACGACGTACGCTATGAAAAAAGGAGTATAAATTTCGGAACTTGGAACGTGCAAATGAGTAAGCTGAAATTGGACATCACAGTAATCACCGAAACAAAACGAAAGGGCCAAGGATCAGAAAACATCGGAGAATATGATTACTTCTACAGCGGTATACCAAAGGAGAAAAGAGCTCAACAAGGTCTTGCCATATTAATACGTAAAAAGCTAAGGAAATACATAACTACTTGGGAGGCCATAAACGAGAGTCTGATAAAATGAACCTTACGATTAGAGGACACAAATGCACAATCTTGGGTGTATATGCAGTAAATGATGACGCACCAGTAAACATTAAAAACAATTTTTTTAGAAAATTGAATTTAGAGGTTGCAAAAATCGGCACATCTGGAGAAATTATCATCTTGGGAGACTTAAACAGCAGAACTGAAAAAAAAACCATAACGCAGTTATAGGTCAATTCGAAGAGGACCACTTAAATGATAATGGTACCAGACTAATATCATTATGCGAACACATTGAAATGAAAATTGCAAATGGATTTTTCAACATAGAGACATACACAAATACACATGGACGCAAAATACGAGAGGGTTAAAATCAATCATAGACTACACAATCATACGACAAAAGACAAATATGATTGTACAAAATGTAAGATATTGGGAGGAGCTACCTGTGGAAGCGATCATCACTTCAAACCAAAACCTTTCACCACAAAAGCTAAGATCACATTTGGAGTAAATAAACCTAAAGAAGGAAATGAAAGGGAGAAAGTAATACAGAGGAGGTATACCCTAATCAGCTTAGAACAAGAAAGTGGGAGCGAATTATACAGAAATAGATTAAATCAAAAGTTGGAAAATAAACAATTTAATAATAATGAAGAACATTACAATCACATAAAAAGATGTCTCCAGGAGGCAGCAACAGAAGCCATTGGATACCAAATCCAGAATCAAAGAAAACTTACATATTGGTTTGACGAAGAAATAGAACAAGAAATAAAGAAGAAAAGAAACCAATATCAAAAATTCTTAAATACAAAGAATATAACGGATAAAATAATCTACAAGGAGTCTCAAGCTAAAGTACGAAAAATGATATGTCGGAAGAAAAATGAAGCATGGCAACAAAAGTGTAACATGATAAATTCACATCTAGGAGGACGAAGAAGCACAGAAAGTTGGAGAGTCTTAAAATCTTTACGACAAGATAAGAAGAGAGACATAGTGTCAACAATAACAATGGATGACTGGGACCAATATTTTGAGAAACTCCTAAGGGAAGATAGACCACAATTTAAAGACAGCAACGAAACACAAAATATAAATAGTTTAACTTCGTCCATACGAATAACAACGAAAGAAGTGGAAGATGTATGTAGATCTCTAAAAAATAACAAAGCACCGGATCCAGGTAACATCCCTGCAGAGTTAATTAAACACGGTACAACCAAACTATATACAAGTTTAGCCAAACTGTTCCAAAACTGCATTAATGGAATGACAACCCAGAGGAGTGGAAGACATCATTCATATCCACTATACACAAAAAAGGCAGAAGGGATGAATGTGACAATTACAGAGGCATTGCCGTGACAAACTCGGTCAGTAGAATATACGGAAAAGTAATTAAAAACAGAATAGAAAGCGAATATAAAGACTTAGAGGCTGAGGAACAGGCAGGATTTAGGGCAGGTAGATCTACTGTTGACCATTTGTTTTGCATTACACAGATTATTGAAAAGAAAATAGCCGTTAATCAAGAAGTACATTTATTGTATGTAGACCTACGAAAGGCTTATGATAGCGTACCACATTATAAATTATGGGAAGCGTTAGAGAAAACAAACATAAGCATGAATTTAATAAATGCGACGAAGGAACTGTACGCTAATGCTAACTCAAAGGTAAAGGTTGGAAATAATCTGTCAAGTGGATTCCAAATGAATAAAGGCCTTAAGCAGGGCTGCTGTCTCTCCCGACATTATTTAAAATTTATCTAGAACAGGCTCTAAAACTGTGGAAGCGCAAATGTAGAAATATGGGAATGCCGATTAACAACAATAGCATATACACTTTGTCATTTGCAGATGATCAACTAGTGATAGCACAAGATTATGAAGATATTGAGTATATGACTCGAAAATTAATCGAGGAGTATAAAAAATGGGGACTTGAAATCAATATCCAAAAAACCGAGTATATGTGTATCGGCGGAGAAACAACAGGACCTCATATTGGAAGATGGAGAAGTTATCAAACATTGCAACACATATAAATATTTAGGTATGATCATCACAAAAGAAGGCAACGTAGACGACACAATTGAGGAGAAAAACAACCAAGCAAGAAAAGCAATTTCCCTTCTCAATAGTATCCTTTGGGATCAATCAATCTCTAATAATAACAAGCACAAGATATATAATACAATCATTAAAAGTATAATTACCTACAGTAGTGAAGTATGGCAAATAAAGGAAAGATACAAGAGAAAACTTGAGGCAACGGAAATGGATTTCTGAGACGTTCAGCTGGAAAATCTAGACTAGAAAGAGTAACGAACAACAGAATAAGAGAAATTATAAAAGTAAAACATACAATAGTAGACGATATTGGTACCCAACAACTCAGATGGTACGGTCATGTACAGAGAATGTCTGAAGAACGTCTCCAAAAAGTCTTGGGACCCTCACGTAGAAAAAAGAGGAAGATCCCGCCTTAGTTGGAGAGAAGGCATCAATAGAGAAATGAAAGACAGAGACATAGAAGAAGACTTATGGATGAATCGAGAGAGTGGCACTGGTATCGGATGACGTAGGAGAGCGTTTTACACCGATCCATATATATATATATATAATATATATATATATATATATATATATATATAATATATATATATTTATATATAGAGTAAACTCTTAAATATTGGGGAAATCTGCAAAAAAAACTCTAATGTGTATCAATTATTTCACCTAACGTTTTCGCCAAAGAGAATTTGGCTTCTTCAGGGCTGAAAGAGAATAAATTATAATTAGCTACCATATATTATCTAATAAAAAACATTTACCTTACCGTGAAATTTTAGAAATGTCAAGTTATGATGTTAAAAAACTTTAGCTAGTAACAACATAGTGGTGTTTTTTTTGAAATGTGTTTATGAAATGATGGATCTGATAAGAGATAGAGTAATTAAACAATCAGATCCACATTTCATACAAAAAACCTAACAAATCCTTCTGAAACTATTTTATTTCAAATTCGTTATCCAACACCATTAGTAAATAAGATTTTGTTTAACACTATCCATAACGAAGATACTTCACCTTCCATCGTGACTAACAATGCTGATCCTGATGTCTTAAGTAGGAACCCAGTCTCGGATACTCCTATCAATAAATATTTTTCATTACCCTATTTCAGAGATATCACTCCGGGGTTAACAAGGATTCTAAAAAGTTTTGAAAATAGCTTTTCTAATAATAATAATAACATTAAACTTAATGTGGCTTGTAGATCAGCCCTAACAATTAATAATCTTTATTCGAAGGTAAAAGATAAGACTCCCATAGATAGGCTTAGTAATATTGTCTACAACATTCCATGCCTCTCTTGCAACAATTCCTACATCGGCCAAACATCTCAATTATTGAAATCACGTATTACACTACACAAAAGTGATTCTCGACTTCACCCTGACCGCTGTGCATTAGCCAAACATGTCCATTCCACTGGTCATCACATGGACTATACGAACACTACAATTCTCCACCGTGAGAACAATAAATCTAAAAGAGAGTTCATTGAAATGTCTTATATTTTCCTTAACGATTTTTCCATCAATGTTAAGAGTGACATTAAGAATCTAAGCGATATATACCACTTCTTACTTAAATCAGATACCAAGAACAATACAACATCACAGATAACCAACTTGACTGATATATCTATTAACAACTAACCTACTTTAATAATAATTTTCATTAACAAAAAAAGATAACATTCCCTTGCTTTTCTTAGATACATCTCAATAAGATATTATTACAATAATACATGAACAATATACTAATTAAAACAAAGAATTTCAATTAAGAAAATTCTAAACTAATATCTCCCAGACTGGGATCTAACTTCATCGGTTTTACCAATGAACCTTAACGACAATGATATCAAAAGAACTACTTGTAATTGTTTCGGCGCTTGCGTTCTATAAAACAGAAGCTCACATTCAAACTTTACAACAATTAAAAATTTAGTTATTGCCGACAATTCAAAGAATTACTTCCTTTAAATGTAGTTACATTGGGCTTTTCGATTGTCCTTGGGTAAACCTTTGCGTTTTAAGTTCAAAGCTACCATACATTTCCAACGTTAACAAATAAACTTTTTTGCACATAGTAACAAAAAAACACCACTATGTTGTTACTAGCTAAAGTTTTTTAACATCATAACTTGACATTTCTAAAATTTCACGGTAAGGTAAATGTTTTTTATTAGATAATATATGGTAGCTAATTATAATTTATTCTCTTTCAGCCCTGAAGAAGCCAAATTCTCTTTGGCGAAAACGTTAGGTGAAATAATTGATACACATTAGAGTTTTTTTGCAGATTTCCCCAATATTTAAGAGTTTACTATTTAACTTATCTGCAAAGATTAAATTTCTTTTCTTTATATATATAATATATATATATATATATATATATATATATATATATAAGAGTAAGAAAAAGAAGTACTTGTGACTCGTTTGGAAAAAATATAAAACTGTTTTGGAATGGGTTGGAGTCAATAAAAGGGGCTATTTGTTGACTATTTTTTACTCGAGCTTTCAATTGTGATTACAATTTTTATCAAGAGCTTCTAAAAAATACAAAATATCTTACAAAGTTGAACTAGTTTCTTAACAAAAACAATTGAATTTGTAAACAAAAATTGAATAGCTACAAATCAGCCTAAATGTTTAATAAATTTTGCTTAGATTTTGAATTTCTGACCTTTTGTTTAAATTATTATCACTTTTGCTAATACAAACCATTTCCAAAAAAGTTCTTTTAAATTTATTACTTTCACTACATAAAATTTTAATATTATCAAAATCCATAATATGGTCTTTGTCTATTACATGCTCTGCCAAAACACAAGATGGTTTCTTAATTCTGCAATCACTTTTGTGAGAAATAACGCGATTTGAGAGATTTCTTCCAGTCTCACCAATATACTCAGCTTCACACTGAGTACAACTAATGCTGTATACTACATTTGTTTGATCTAATTTGTCTATAGGATATTTAGTTTTGGAATATAAAGATGAAAGGGTTTTGATGTCCATTGTTGCTATTTTTATATTGTCAATAACCTTTAGTGTTTGTATTAATTTAGTTTTAGAGTTAATGATGGTATAAAAGGTAGTGATGATGGTATATACAATCAAAACATATATTATCATTCACTACCGTTCGAAAAAGTAAAAGCTCGAGTAAAAAATAGTCAACAAATATCCCCTTTTATTGACTCCAACCCATCCAAAAACAGTTTTATATATATATATATAATATATATATATATAATATATATATATATATACTATATATATATATATATATATAGAAAAATAATCTTGTAACAATTTTAAAAGTTCTGACAATTTAGACACCGATCTCGTATTGTATTGCTAAATTTTACATTACTGTTTCTCTTTTGATTCTATAGCTAAAACTTGTAGCAACTGGTTATTCTCTAGGAAACTCATTTATAGACAAAATTCCTTATCCTATCCTAGTATATCGCTACCACACATTCTGTTAAAGTTATATCCCTATTGTATATATCCCATACAGAACTTCAACTTACCTCATCTTTAACAAAATCTATCCAATGCATTACAGCGTCAAATAAAGGAATTTGGATTTTATGGGACACATTAACGTTGTTCCAAAATAGTAGCTTCAATATAGACAGTGTACATCTTTTAATATCTGGTTCATATTGCTAAAAACACATACACATTATATATACAGTGTTGGAACTCCAAGAAATGAATATACACGATATACATCTTGCAGCAATGCAAGCTTAATCTACTCCTATTTTAGGAATTTAAAATGTGCTTAAGAATTTTAAAAACTTATGGTGGCGTCGCTTATACAGCGCTCATGTACTCTTACGTTATGTTTTCTGGCCACCGGAAATAGCTACAAAAGCCTCTAACTGAATAATATCAGAATCTCTCATTTGTTTATTTCTATACTGACTACTAGATATATCCCAAAGACATGTTTGTTCTTGTTCTTCGTACAGACTTTTTCGTTACAGGACTCATTTCACTTCATATTTTTTAAATAAAATTCAAATACTTAAAAAAAAGACTCCACCGACTAATTCTTGACAGCAAGTACGTATTTACTTATATGTTTGTTTACATGAAGCAAGCGTGAGGTAGGACATTCAAGAATTGTATTGAATGGCCTAGCTCACGCTTGCTTGCAATATTGGAATGAATGAAGTAAGTTGGATGGATTTCTGACTGTTTTTCAATGTGCCTCCAGTAAGTTGTCGTTTCATCGTTTTCGTGGTCTTCCTACTGATCGTCTTCCTATTGGGAACCGTCTCTTGCCGTCTTTACTACTCTATTTGTTGCCATTCGGCTTACATTATCGTTCCATTCTACTCTTCTATTTCTTACCCAGTTCTTGATCTTGCATCTAAGTCGTATATTTGTACTTCTAGCTCTGTCCCATAGTGTCTTGCCATCAATTTTTCTAAGTGTTTTCATCTCTGCTGTTTCTAACGTCCTTTTTGTCCGCTCTGTGTCAGGTCGTGTTTCTGCCGCGTATGTCATTATTGGTCTGATGACTGTTTTGTAAATTCTGCCTTTCATTTCTTTCCCGATATTTTTATGTCTCCATATTGTTTCATTTAGGCAGCCTGCAGCTATGTTTGCTCTATTCACTTGATCTTCCACTTCAGTTTCGAGCTTTCCGTAGCTAGATAATGTGATGCCTAGATATTTAAACTCCATCACTTGTTCTATTATCTGAACTTCCAGCTCCAATTTACATCTTAGTAAATTTGCTGTTGTAACCATGCATTTTGTCTTTTTTGGGGAAATTAACATGTTAAATTTTCTGGCGGTTATATTAAATTGGTGCAGCATACGTTGTAAATCGTCTTCACTTTGAGAGAGTAGTATTGCGTCGTCTGCATAGCAGATTATTTTAAGTTGTTTTTCTCCCATTTGGTATCCTTTTTAGTTACTTACTTTTTTATTATTTCATCCATAATCAGGTTGAACAATAGAGGACTCAGGGAATCTCCCTGTCTTATCCCATTGCCAGCTTCAATAGGGTCGGTTAGTTCTTCTTCCACTTTTACTTTTATTGTGTTGTTTTGGTAAATATTTTCGATCGTTTTGATTATTCCTAGAGGTATCTCTCTTGCGTACAATAAGTGGATAACGTCCTTTAATTTGACCCGGTCAAATGCCTTCTTAAGGTCCACGAACATAGATATGCCGGTTTGTTGTATTCTAACGATTTCTCTTGCACTTGCCTCATTATAAATATACGCGTCGGTGCATGATCTTCCCGACCTGAAACCTTGTTGTTCTTCTGCTAGTGTTATAATTTCATTCAGTTTATTTGTTATCACTTTGGTTGTTAATTTTAGTGTTGTGTTTAATAAATTAATTCCTCTGTAATTTTCCGGTCCGATTGGTTTCCTTTTTGAAGAGAGTATTAGGATGCTTGATCTCCATTCTTGAGGAATTCTGTTTTGTTTTATTATTTTTTGGATTAGTTTTAATAGTTGTTTGGTCAGATCTGGTCCTCCGTACTTTAGAAGTTCGTTCGGTATTCTGTCCTCTCCTGGTGATTTTCTATTCTTTAATTTCCTTAATGCTTCCTTGCCTCTTCCTCCTCATATTTATTTCTTCGTTTGTCGTCACCTCTGGTGTTGGTAGTTCATTATCGTCACCTTTAGCAAATAGGGTTCGAAAGTAGTCTACCCATGTTTCCTTCTGAATGTGTTTCATTTTTATTAGTTCGTTCATCTCTTTTCTTTGTCCTCTGATCATTCTATATATTTCTTTTTGTGTTCCGTGGAAGTCGTATTCCATCTGTTTTAAGAAGCTCTATCAGTGTTCCCTTTTATTTGTCTAACTAAAGTACTCGTTTCATTTCTGACTCGTTTATAGCGGTTATATGCCTATTGTGTTCGTTATGTTCTGTATTTTAAAAAGGCTTTCTTCTTTTCTTCACATTTTGTCTTCACTTCCTCTCGGTTCCCTGTTCTGTAGTATAAATTCCTTCACCCGATGCTTTTGCAGTTGTAGACCCGTCTTTGCACCAGGTGTAAAGCTGCAGCCCTAGGTCGTGAGTATTCTCTGATAATTCCTCTTGTGGGGTACTTAACTCTGTTACTTTTAACGGTACTTTAAACTTTTATTTCGGGTCCATATGGTCAGAAGTGATCATCGATAATCCTAATTTCGTTTATGTCTCTATTATTCTATATATATCTAAATTATCTATATCTAAAAGTATTAACTTTATGACAAAAAAATTTAATACATTTGTTATCCAAAATGTTATCTGAACGACAAAACTATGATGAATCACTACAAAACGTCGTCCAAAAATTTCTATTTAAGAAAATAAATACTTTATTTAGTATAACACAAAACAAATGACGGTATTATATTTTGATTTGATACAGAGCAACAACAAGCCGCATATACGTATTTCGATCTCTTTAGATCTCCTCAGTACGGTATAGTTACTACTCCATGCGGCTTGTTGCTGCTCTGTATCAAATCAAAATATAATACCGTCATTTGTTTTGTTTATTTACTTCATTTGGAGTACCAGAAATCGAATTCACTACGAATATAGGCCATGATGAACGGCATTTGGAGTGCAATTTTTAGACTCCCTTGCCGATGTATTCATCAAGCTGTTTGCTTCGCAAGTCTTAGGGGGCACGGCAGCTTATATTTGAATTCGATTTCGCCAGGTAGAAATCGTATGATTTCTCTTTTTGTTTATTAGTATACTTACTGCATAAGCTTTTTCAGGTTTGTATGATCTGCACTGTTCGACAATTTTATTTTCTACAAAATTCATCACATTTTCGTAGTAATTTTTGGGAATGCTACCTGTTTCTGTAGTTGGATTTTGAATATATCGAAAGGTTAAACACAAGGTATTCATTAGGATGAAAAAATTGTCGTCTATTATACATTCGCCTGCTACGACCAAATCTGAAATAGAGAACAATTAGAAGATGCGAAATGTCTATCTTGGGAATAGAGTAGTTTTCATGTTGAATGAAATGATATTAACGCTTTGACATTGCCAATGTAAAATTTACTTTATGTGTTTAGCAAATATTTTTGGAAAAATTAAGTAACTTAACTAATTAACTACACAGCAATTATTATTTAATATTATAGGAATGTGGGAAAATGGTACACGGCGGGTAATCGTACACTTCAAATCAACTACGCTGCAACCAGTCCTACACCTTTCGGTCGATCTCGTGAACGGTTAACGCCATTTTCTTCAGTCGACCGTTGCACGTGGACTAAGTGAAATCCGATTATTGAAAATTGCAGCAATTTTTCTTATCCAAAAATTAAGCCGAAGGCTTTATTCAGTTGCTCTGAACTTATTATTGATTTAAATGGCTCACTAGTTCTCTGTTTGTGATGTCGTTTGTACACTGTACTAGAAAATCACAGTTTGTAAACTGTACTAGAAAATCTACAGTCCTTACGTATACTAACGAAGATTTACAAAATGTTCTGTATGCAGTTAAAAATGACAAAAAATAATGGAAACGTAAAGACCTGTCAACATTCCCGAATCGACGTAAGGAAAAAGATTAATATGTTTGCACACGCCATCCATTTAGGTCGCCCAGCTATATTTTCAGATAAAGTAGAAAAATAATTAAGAGAGTATGGTTAACGCTTTCTAAATTATTCTATGGCTTAACACCTAACTAAAGTATAAGTTTAAACAGGATTGTTGTATTCAATAAAGAGTCAACACTATTTTAATCTAATATCAAAATACTCATGTTACAGTTTGCTATATCTGCCGAACGTGGAAGAACTATCATAGCCATTTTCTGCATGGGTATTACAGAAAATTATATTCCCCCATGTTGATCTATCCTTGGAAAATAATGTCTCTTACACTTGAGCAAAATGGACCTATTGGTCTTTCATACAAACGTTCCAAAAACGGATGTATCAATACATAATTTTTTAATGAGTGGCTGCGCCATTTTGTGCCACAGCAACTGATACCACCCTTTTAGTGCTGGATGACCACTCCAGCCATATTTCTATTGACGCATATAATTTTTGCAAAGAAAAAACTATTCTCAGAAACTCAGATCATCTTCAGCCTTTCTTTAGTCTTTTAAATAATGCACGTTATAGAGAATATGATGTTTATTTGTGTGATAAAAGCCATCAAACAATAATCGAAAGTGACGTTGCTGAGCTGTTAAATGAAGTTGCCAGTTGCCACTATGAAGTGTCAGGTTTCTCGTGCATCTGGAATATGTCTGTTAGATCCCGATAAATTTAATGAATGCATCTACTGATGAGTCAATGTTGTATATAATATAATGTTCAGCCTTCTACATCTAAGGAAAATTCTGAAATTAACTGAAAATGGTTAAACCAGAAATTAAAATTATATCTCGTAACAAGTAACAATCGGAAATTGTTACAAGCACACCAACGAAGACAAAATTGGAGGAAGCCCACGAAAATTACAGATGTACCCCAGAAAATTATATATGCGACTTTTGTTTACGTTAAAAATATTGCATTTAAGTAAGCCATACAATTAATATTTCTTGTTAATATTATACCTTTGACATAAGAGTTTTTATTATATTGATTTTAAATTAATCTTTTTTTTCTAGCCTTAATTTACTACGCCCCATTTCCCAATCCGTGAGCATGATTACCCTGATTGCACTTTGTATTTCTTTAAAACTTATTTTAAATATTCAGAGTAGAATAATCAGAGCTATTACAGATTTAAAGAATTAACAACAGAAGCGATTTTTACTTAAGTACGCACCTTTCCACCACTTTCCCTTACTTATTTGAGGTATTGCAATTTTTTTAACGAACACCTACGTAGCGAGATAATATGGAAGGGGTGTGTGGTGGAAGTTTTAAATCTTTAGATATACATACACACATATATATATATATATATATATATATATATATATATATATATATATATATATATATATATATATATATATATGCCTCATAAGAGCACATAAGAAAAAGACAATTACAAAGTTTAAAAAGGCCAACTGTGGAATGTTAGGTTAAGAGTAGCTGTCATTCCTGGACATGGCAAATGACAGTACTTCTTCTTGTTTTCTTTGTCTTATGTGGTACTACTACTATTACACATCAATATTACCAAAGGTTATAATTAAGTTCAAAAACAAAATTGTATAATGAGAACTCTAAGAAATAACGAAATACAATCATTGGAACTTGGTGCATGTGTATCCAAATATAATAGGTAGGAGTAAATAGAGTTTAATTGATTGATGTCACTCCTTTTGTTCATTGCATTTGAATTTTGAGCGATGAATGCCATTTCTAAGAAGTCTTTTTTTTGTAATTGGATTCAGTAGCTAAAACTTTGACTGATTCATAATTCATTATGTGATGTTCTTTATTAACATGTTCTGCAAGGGCAGATCTTTCAGGATATAGTCTACTGACGCTACGATGACTGATTAGGCGACTACCTAGGCTGCGTGTGGGTTGTCCCACATATACTAAATTATAGTTATTGCAAGGAATCTGGTAGACTACATTGGAATAATCTTTGATGTTACTTTTATCTTTAACCTTAGAATATATAGATCTTGCAGTTAATGAAGTTTTAAAGGCTATTTTTAAATTGGTGAAATCTTTTAAAAGTCTTGCGTCTGGGTGTTATGCCTTTTATGTATTTTAATGAAGTATATGAGCAATTGGTATTTTGTTCTTCGCTTGTGACAATAATTTGCACCTCATCATTTTGACGTGTTATGTTCGGGGTCAAACTGAATAAAATCTTGGTGACTAGGTGTTTTGGGTATGAATAGTCGATGAAAAGGTTAGACAGGATTCTCAGATTCTTCTGATGGAAAGAAGGATCACTGATAGCTATAATTCTAGCCTTCATTTGTTTGAGTAAATTGATTTTTATTGAATGTCTATGATATGACCAATAGTTTAGAAAGCGTCCAGAACTATGCGGTTTTCTATGCCAGTCGATAATCAGGGAGTTGTTATGGGTTCTAATGAACCGGGTATCAAGAAAGGGGACTGAGCATAGATCATCCTCATGTTCGATTGTGAATTGTAGTAGAGGGTCATAACTCTTGAATACATTTAAGATTTCTGTGGATCCATTGTTGGGAATAGCTAGGATTAAATCATCCACATACTTCTTTACAAAAGGAATATAAAAAGACAATTCTAGGATCACTATATCCACTAAATGATCCATCACATAACAGGCCAAAATGGGACAGATAGTACCTAACATACGAGTTCCTTGTGTTTGTCTAAATACAGTATTATTAAATGTGAAATAGGTATTATTAAACAGAAAAGAGATGAGTTTTTTTAAGTACCCCAAGCTGATATTGCAGTGAGAACTAATAAAATTCCAATTGTTTTCAATCGCCATTAAAGCTGCATCTAAACCTTTACACTCTTAACAGATTTCGAGGATGCTTTACTAACAGTAGCACTTTATTTCAGTTTTTCCTGATAATAAAAATAAACATTTTCGAAAGCTTGAAACTTAGTTAAAAAGTACACTTATTTCACCGCTGCAAATCCCAAAAACCTCAAAGCTATATATATATATATATAATATATATATATATATATATATATATATATATATATATATATACTTGACCACCTCTAGTGCTAAATGATATACGTGTTTGAAATAGCTTCCTGACATTATTAACCAATTTTTGAACCGTGACTATCAAACGATATTGATATTAATAAGAATAATGGGTACATAACTGTGAGTACTCTTAAAATCATTAATTTATAACCTAAATACAAAAAGTATAAAGTACTTCATAGTACACAAAAATTCAAGATTATTAAAAGTTAGAGGTGAGAACTAATCTTACCAAATGACGTATGTCAAGAATAATGAATATTAGGATTTTAAAGCGAGAGTAAGTATGTTAACAATAGTTCAAATCTCTAAAATTAGATAAAGACAAATTCTTCCAAACCGTTGAAGTGAGAAAGCTTTTGACGCTATCTAAGAGATTTAGGAGCAGAATGAGGTGGGTTTCTATTGTTGTTTCGTTATTTCTAGTATGGAGGAGAGAGAGGTATAAGAATATAACAAAATGTAGTATTCAAATCAGAAAATAGAAAATAGAGCACACTAAAAAAGAATAGAAGAGCTAGACAGAGAAGTAACAAAGAAAAATATTACAGCATATGGTGTAACAGAAAAAAAAGGCAAACAAGAAAGTAATATAAAAACTAGTGTAAAAAATATTACATCTAAAATCCGAGTTCCACTAAATGAAAATACCGAATGAGATCTATATTACTGGAACTTAAAAGCGAACCAAAAGAATAGAAATAACGAAGTCATCCAAAAACTAAAGGGAATGGACATTTACCTAAGTGAAGATTACTCTAAGATACAAACAAAAGAATAATACTTAAAATAACATTTAAAGGAAGGAAAAAAAAAGGGTCAGAAAACATCGTTATATTAAAATAAGCTAAATGTAGGTTTTCTCTAGGTTTTCCTAGAGAAAAACATATACTGAAAGATTACCCGGAGGTAAAAATGAATTGGAAAACATAACAAAACAAAGACAAAAAACTGGGATATGTAAAAATGGAACATAGAAAACAACAAACTACTTGTATCAGAAAAACGACCCGGCAAACGAATATAGAAAGTGCGTCTATGGGAATTTAAAGAGACTTAAATAAAACTGAAGAAAATTATGATGGAAACATGACGAAACTATCAATGAAAGAGGACAATGAATCAAATATAAAAAAAGAGATATAAAAAGAAAAACCAAGGAGAAAATATAGGCAAACTAGGAACCTGGAACGTTCAAACATTATTGACATCAGGAAAATGGAAGAGGTAGCAAGAAAATTGCGAAGATATAGAATATACATACTAGTACTACAAGAAGTAAGATGGAAGGGAGAAGGGAATATTAAAAAGAAAAACTACACAATATTCTACGCTGAGGTAGAATTAGGAGATTTATGCACCCACAGACACTGCACCAGAAAATGATAAACTTGAATTATATAAACAGCTGGAAGAACGGAAATAAGGAAGTAACAGGAAAAAAATTATTCATATCGATACAAACGATAATGGAAGAAAACTATGCCACCTAGCAACAATAACATTACAGACACACTAATGAAAAAATTGGAGGCCTTGGAGATGTGGATCTACCGATGAATATTACGGATAAGTTGAGTTGATCGAATAAGAAATAAAATAGTTCTACACCGGATAAGAAACAGCACATAAATAACGAATATAATAAGAATTTGAAATTTACAATATTTCGGCCTTGTAACGAGACATCCAGAGAGGTATAACCTTCTAAAATTCATAATAAAATGCAAAATCGCCAAAAGAAGAGACCCAGTCCGAAAAAGAACATTCTGGCTCCTAAATTTCCGAGTGTAGTAGCAATATTATTGTCAAATGATCGCCAACGTTAGATAATCGGACAGGGTACTGACAGAAGAAGCAGCAATAAGAAACAGTTACATCATAAGCACACAAGAAAATCATATTACATACTAATATCCAAAAAATGGAAAACAATACTGCACGACGTCAGGTCATATACAAGAATAAATCCATACACGGTATATTTTCTCGTAATAGGAGAAATAAAAATGAAGATCATTAAACCTGAGAGGTCAATACAAAACAAAAGAAGATGGAAACTGGAGAAATTAAGAGTACATGATATAAGAGAACAATCTTCCATCAATTTGTGGTCAAGTGGAATGCTCATTTTTTGGAGATGATGTTGTATGTTGTCTCTCCATCGCATTCTGGGACACCAAATAGCCTTTTTTCCTGTGAGAACATCACCCTCAATCAGTTTTATATGTTTATAGTTATAGATTACGTGCCCTGCCCTCTTAATCGTTAGGATTTAATATCCTGGTCAACATCTATAAAATTCTTTTATTTCTCTATTTGGTTTTATTCTATCCTGGTTTGTGGTTATATCGTGGTCAATTTTTAGAATTTTCTTTTAAATTAAATTTTTCCTGATTTTATTTGGACATTGTCCATGTTTCGCATCCATATTTTAGTATAGATCTGAAAATGGATCTATAGCTCTTGATTTTTTATGCCCTTGTTCGGTTTTGGATTTTATAAACGTATCCAGTGCGTACAAACAGCGGTTTGCAGCATGGATTCTGCTTTTTATTTCTTTAGTGGCATCATTATCAACCAATTGGTTCTTCATTATTATTACTTTAAGATATTTGAACGTTAAACTCTTTCGAGAATATGGGTGTAGACTGTGATGATTTGTCAAATTTTGCCCCTTCGGTCGGTTGTTTGTGTACATATATTTCGTGTTCTCTTCATTTACTTGATTCCAACTTTTCTTTTTGCTTCCTCAACCTTATTAAAACCTCTTACGGATAAGATGGAGTTTCCCATTAGGTCGATACCATCTGTGTATGTTATAAGTAGTTTAGAATCTTCAGACCTTAAATATGCTTGTAGACTTAACGCTTAATAAATGTAATGCTCACAAATTGAGAAATGAAGATATAAAAGAATAACTATGTAAAAATGAGTATAACTCACCAAAAACTGATGAAACTTCTGATAAAATATTAAATTTGTATTTTATTGACACATTTGTAAATAAAAACAAAGGTACTTCGTGCTTGCAGTTCATTTTAAGCTCAATTTTTATCAGTTCGTTATCAAATTCTGATGTAATAGGATAGCACGCCAACTGAAACAAAAAGAAAACATGTGCAAAACTATTTCAATTATACATAAAACTTCTTTAATGATTAATTTTAAGGAAATGGTTTTTTTTTATTTGATTAACGCTTCAACATCTAAGGGTAATTTCTATAGTAAATATAATAGTAAATATGGTAGTATTTATAAATATAACAAGGTTTATAAATTAATCAAATATAGTTCTCAAACTTTATTCTTGTGACATTGACATATTAACTACTTTACTTAATAATAATAAACCACGATTCTGGACCCTTTGAGGGCTTCACGACGTCGAAGACAATGAAGCAGCTTCAAGGATTTACCGGTATGGTAAACTGGCTCAAGAGACAATATCCCTTGATTCACAGAGATGTTAACACTTCTCACGGATCTTAAGAATGGTAACAAGGGCTACTTCAAGTGGATTATCGCAAAAGCTGATCAAAACAGCAGAATGAGGACGAACATAGCGAATTACCATTGATTTGGAGTCGGGAACAACCCGATTTAGCCGACCTATCAGACCTACCGCTTCAGGAAAACATCTGAAAAGTCCTCAAAATGCACCACAATATATAGCAAGAAATCTCCAATATAGGACTAACGGATGAGATGAAAGAGGCCTTCTAAGAAGGGATTTCGCTGTAATCGTAATTATTACAGTGCCGATGGAGACTATTGAAAACTCGTAGTACCTCAATCCGTATGACCAGATCGAGACAGGTCGAAAGGATAAGGCCAATCGTAACCTTTACTACTGGTCCATGTCTCTTTCGACGTGCTAGAACCCGGCAGGCAGAAGAGAACCTGGTAGCAGGGCAGACTTCTTTTGCAGTCCATCCGCTATCCAATAAGTCCTCTGCTTCCTTCAGGATGAGACCTGTAACCGACGAGTTTTCTGAAAAGATATATTATATATAAGATAAACTTGGCCCAATCTGCTCGGGTACAAGACCACGGTGTACACAAGGAACCCATTTCCCAATTAGAAGCACCACTTTCAAGAAGATCTTCTTAAAAGAGAAAGTCCTAATTCGGAATCATACGTGAGAGAAAACCATATAGACCGGACCCCACACACGACCCTGTGAATTCTCTTTGTAATCAGGATATATATATATATATATATATATATATATATATATATATATATATTGTTATGATTCATTTTATCAATTAAAGATAGAATAACATTTTTATTGTGTTATAGAACCTGGGCACATCAATTTGCAACGATTTGTAAATATTTGTTATAAGTTAGTTTTAAGCAGTGGGTTTATCCATAATTAGTTTTACTCTGAAGGACTGAAAAACATTAGTAAATACTTAAAAGTGAATAGGCAATTGTTTCCCGGTATTTGTAGATATAATATTTTAAAAGCCTTTGTTTTTGTTTCGCTGGGAAGGTCAAAAGCCGCCAGGTAGTTATTATATTTAGAAAGTATGAGATAAAAACCGTTATCATTTTCAAAGAAAGTTGTTTAGACGCGATGCTTGGGTTTTTCTGATATAAAATAAGAGGCGGGATATATAAATTTTAGGATTGGTTATCGAGTTTGGAATGGGGAAAAGAGAGTGAATGTATTAAAAATTTGGAGTAAAAAGATGATGATTATGTGACGGTGAACCGAACGAGGCAGTTAAAGTTTTGTGTAGTCAGTTAAGAAGCAAGTGCCAGTGGTATTAATTATTAGAAGTGAGTGGCTGAAAGTTGGAACGGGAGATAGATCAAAGTTGAGAAGTCGAATACCTCTTGGATTCTATAAAGTCCAAGCGAGTAAGTCACAAAAACCATAACTATATAAAAGTAATATTCCTTGGGTCTTAGGAGATTGTTGGTATATGAAAGAGAGGGGAGAATTTTGGAGTTTGTTGAACGAGTACTGGTAAAAGAGGCATGCTCGTGTTTTTGGAGAAAGAGTTGCTATTATACTGATAGGTTGATACTTAGAACGGAGAAGGCTTTGATTGGTAGCCTAACATAATCAACAAGGGGGAGCTGAGGAGACATCGTCGTGTGTGAATTAAAAGGTCAGTCAATAATTTTTGCGACAGAATTTTGTTTGTATGTTTCAAATAAAAGACTATACCAGAGGTACTCAAGGTGTGTTCCGCGGCACCCTAGGGTTCCGCGATACCCCTGTAGGGGTTCCGCGAGAATTTAGAAGAAAAAAATTCAAAACAATCAAAACACGTCTCTCTGGGCAACTGTTCTGATGAGGCGTAGCACGATTCACGAGGCGCAGTCGAACTTAGTTGCCTCGTACAATTTTACTCTGCCTGCCACTGCTCATATCTCTTGTGAGCGCGCAGTCCTCGACGACCACGCCTCTACACTTGACACTTGTCAGTCGGCGATTAACGTTCGGAGCAATAAGTACCTCCCTGCTATAAAAATATTTATAGAGACAAAGTGTTTATTGTTCTACTGCTGTATTCTGATTGTATCAGTTTTGTATATTCTATAGAAAAAAATGTTTATATGTGTTAATTGTATCAGTTTTGTACATTTCTTCTTTGGACTAAATTGTTCTGCAGTAACGGTCGTGAATTATGTTGTTGTTTTTAACAAAAAAGAATGGAACGTTGGCTTAAAGTCGTTAAACGTGATGTAACATCTTCTACAGAAGGCGAATGTTCGAAAGCAGTACGCGCAGAGTATACAGCAATTACCGATCAGGACGATTATGCAACGACGTCAAGTTCCACGGTTTCAAAGGCGAAAAAAAAAGAAAGTTTGATTAATTATATATCATATATCATAGTTTGCTTAGTAAAAAATGTTTGAAACGCCATCCGTCTTCAAGATCAAATTTTGATCAAATGAAAGGCAGATATCAAGCACAGTTTATTAATTAAATCTTTCCCAAATACTTTCGCTTCCTACAGCATCTTCAGGTTCATCTGAAATAAGCCAAGAAACGTTTTTTCAACTGAAGAAAATTAATTAACTTGAAAGTTCATTAATTAACTAAAAACTTGAAGTTGATGGTTGATAAAAGTTTTTTATGTAATCTAACGTTTTAGACTTACTTCGTCAAATTTGGCCTATCCAACAATCTTTGAGATTGTCATAAACATAAAATTGTACATTACCACTACACGAGACAAGGACAAACAGTTTAATTTTTTTTAAAAAGGGCGAAGCTACATGTTGATTGGCATCGGGAGAGAGAATGGCTCCTGGTCTTAACGGAAATTTTAAGGTGACATATGACAGCATGGATGGGCAGTCGCAATCATGGTGATGTGATCTGCACATTTTAAAATTCTATGAAACTGAGCATTGGCCAAAGGTCCAACTGAAACTACTATAGAAAATCAACTGATGAAATATGAAATTATATAGAATATTTTAAGTAGATTGCATAATCCAGATCTCACACTCAAATCTGTCTATAATAATTAGGGTGTTAGTTTGAGGGCAACTGAAGTGGACGTAGACTAAGAATCTTCTTCTTCAGATGCAAATCCACTAATGGATGTTAGCGATCACATTTTCCATTAACTCTCTATTTCTTGCAATATGTATCAGAGATTGTATGTCGTTAATCCCTGTCCATTGCCTTATGTTTCGGAGCCAGGACATTTTCTTGCGTCCCATTCCTCTCTTGCCTTCAATTTTACCCTCGATTATAAGTTGGAGGAACTGGTATTTTTCATTTCGCATGATGTGACCTAGATACGCCGTTTTCCTTTTCTTGATGGTTTCGAAAAGTTGGCGTTCTTGGTTTATTCTTTTAAGGACATCTATATTTGTGATTTTCGCTGTCCATGGTATTTTTAGGATACGGCGATAAAGCCATATTTCGAAAGCTTCCAATCTGTTTATATCTCTCGTTTTGAGTGTCCAGCCCTCTACGCCATATAGCAGCACTGACCATACGTAGCACTTAGTAAACCTTAGTCTCAGTTGAAGATCGAACTCAGAACAAGTCAGTACCTTCTTGAATTTTACGAAAGCTTGTCGAGCTTGCTCAATGCGACATTTTACTTTCCTGTCCGATGCCCAGTCTTCAAAAAGCCACGATCCCAGGTATTTAAATTTACTCACTCTTTCTATGGATTTACTATTCAGTGTTATGGTGGAGTTTTCAAATGCATCCAAGTTTCTGGAGATGATCATGAATTTGGTCTTTTTGGTATTAATCTCTAGTCCCATTCGCTCACTGTATTCTCCGATTATAGTGACAAGTTGTTGAAGATCGACTATGTTGTCACAAATTAAGACACCATCATCAGCATATCGTATGTTGTTGATCAATACTCCATTCACCTTGATTCCCATCTCTGCATCCTCCAAAGACTCTTGAAATATGGCTTCTGAATAAATGTTAAATAAAAGAGGGGAAAGCACACATCCCTGTCGAACGCCTCTTCTTATATGTATGGGCTTAGATATAGAATTGTCTATTTTTAGCTGTGCCGTTTGATGCCAGTACAAGTTTTCAATGCATCTTATGTCTTTTTGGTCTATATCAACTTTCTTGAGAATCTGCATTAACTTGTGGTGTTGGACACGATCAAACGCTTTTTTGTAATCTAAAAAGCATAGGAACACATCCTTCCTCTGATCGTAACAATTTTGGACCAGTACCTGTGTTGCTACTATTGCTTCTCGTGTTCCTAAACCTTGCCTAAACCCGAACTGGGAATCACTGATGTCCCTTTCACATTTTTTGTATAATCTTTGATGTAGTATTTTTAAGAATATCTTTAAAGTGTGACTCATCAGGCTAATGAGTCTGTGATCCTCACATCTTTTTGCATTGACTTTCTTGGGCAGGGGAATAAAGGTAGAGCGTAACCACTGTTGAGGATAGCAGCCAGTTTCATAAATTAAATTAAATATTTTGTGAAGTGCTGAAATTCCCCTTTCATCTAGTAATTTGAGTATTTCTGACGGGATCTCATCTGGTCCAGGTGCCTTATTGTTTTTTGAATTTAATATTGCTTTTTCTATCTCCTCTTTGGTGATTGAAGGGCCAGTCAGCTGGTCGTCGGTATAAACTTCACTCATGGGTCTTTCGTCATGGAAGAGCTCCTGGATATAATTTTCCCATATATCAATTTTCTCCTTTTCACCCAGCACTATCTGGTTATCCTGATTAACTATGGTAGTTGGTCTTCGTTTTCTGTATATTCCAGCAGTCTCCTTAAGCTTTTTATGTAAATTACGGTCGTCGTGTTGTCTTTGTAAATGTTCTAGATCGATACATTGTTGCTTAAGCCATTCATTTTTTGCTATTCTTATTTTTGCTTTTATTTGCCTGTTAATGTTTTCATACATTTTGCTGCCATCTTGGTTATTCTTGTGTCTTCGTCGTTCTTCCATTAGTAATAGTATTTCTTCTGTCATCCATTTTTGCTTCTTGTTATTTCGTTTGTACCCTAATTTGTTTTTCATGATGTCTGTTACAGCACTTGTAATCGTATTCCATGTTGGTGTTATATCTTCGGTAATGTTTGTCGTTAATATTTGAATTTGTGCGTTTATTTCATTGCTTATTTTTGCTTGTATCACTGGGTCTTTCAGTTTATCCAGTGCTATCTGTTGTTGAGTTTCAGGATTGTTCTTGCATGAAAGAGCGATCTTTATGACGGCCACTAATAGTACGTGGTCAGAAGGGACATCTGCTCCAGGGTATGTGCAAGCTCTTTTGACAGTTGTGCTGAATCTACCGTTTATAAGGATGAAGTCTATCGTTTATAAGGATGAAGTCTAGACTAAGAATGCAAGAAATATACTAAACAATCTATTAGATAGTGGCTGGTTGACTACAATAAAAGGGTCTACCAAGCACTATCAATACTGTAGAAAAGAAGAAATTAAACTATGAAATTCAAATACTAAGAATTAAAAATCAAAATTGAAAGCAGAGTGTATAAATGGGTTAACCCAAATAGTTCAGTTAAACCCACAGTCAATGGGTGAACCATAAAATTAAAATGTGAAAGCATTACTCAAGACCAACCGATCAACAGTGGGAGATGTTGAAATATACAACTGTGGAGATGGTATATCTAAATTACGCAGATATGGAGAGTGTAATCAACGCCAACTATAGATCGATTGAACCTGAGCAAGCTAGTCTTGTAAATTATTGAAGAATAAAATAGTAATGTTAATCAAAGTATGAAATTAATAAATTCTTAATGGGTATAATCAGTACAGGAAGTCTAAAAAGCCGAGCTGGGTCTCCCACGAGGTGAAGCTGCAATAAAGTTTTTAAAAATAGGTACAAATTTAGTACAATTTAAATTAATTTGAGTATTAAGACAGTGTTTCATTTGTTTTCCTTGTAATCTCCTAATCTTCCAATAAATTCGACTCCATGTAGTTTTTCTTTCTACTAATGTCATGTAAAATAGATGAACCAGTATTGATGTTAAAATTGTGTTTACTGGATAATAAGTATTGACCAAAACTTGAAGAGTTTGGTCTTTTCAAATGTTTTGAAATTCTAGTAGATAACTTTCGAATGGTTCTACCTACATAAGAGGCATCACAATCATCAAATTGTAATTTATAAATAGCACTTTTGTCAAGTGTGTTCATCCTCTTTGGTATTGATTAGAAAGGAACCTAAAGTATTGTGTGACTTGAAGGAAATTTGGATGTTTTCAATTGTATAAGTAAAAAGTTTTGATATTTTATTGGAAATGTTGCTAATATAAGTAAAGGAGAAATATCTGATGTTATTTAAAGCATTGGGTTGAAGCAAACATTGTGATAACCCGTACAACAAAAGTACGTAAATTGCACTTCGAATTGCTCCTGCGCCCACTTTATTCTTCAGATCTGACTCACAATCACTTCTGTCTCTTTCCAGACTTCAAAATAATACTCCGGGGAAAGAAGTTTGCAGTTAATGAAATTGAAGTGGAAAATGACGTGTATTTTGAAACCAAAGGCTATACAAAAAGATATCGAACTGATAGAGAAGCGTCGGAATCTTACCCGAAAAGTCCAATTTAAGAAGCTTATTACGCGAGACAAATTAGGTTTTAAAACTTTTTTATGACTGATCTAAAAATTCAAAACCACATGTTCTACATTTGTACAGAGAAGTATGCAGGAAAAGGCAGTGTGGAAATATCGTCCGATCTCTTTAACTATTTGAAACAAGCTGATTTTTAGGGTGTTCTGTACTGTTCTGTACCAAGGTTGTTTAACGATGGTTTTGTTTCATAAAATAAAAATAATATTGTCCTGAGAACACTGACTCATTTTTTGGAAACACACAAAACGTCAATCCATAGGATTTTATTGTATTTCAATGTACGCGGATATAGTTTTTTACCCACCGACTGTGTTTTTGGAAGAGCAGAAAAGCAGTTGCGAAAAAAACCCATAATTTTAATATAACAGGAATACCATGACATCTACAGTGGTATAAGCAATGTAAGAACACTAGGAGAAGATTGGCCACTTCTTGATACTGAGAAGCTATATGAATACTATAAGAACATCCAATCAATTAGTAAACTGAAGAGAATTGAAATATGCTACCGGGCATAAGAAGGAATTGAACAGCTCCGAAAAAAGGGAAGTCATACAAAAATATTGTATTGGTAAGAGGCTTAAAGAACTACAACTATGAAGGAAAAGAGTCTTTTATATCTTTGAGAAAGAAAGGGACAACTAATCTTAGACAAGTGAGACTGGAAGAACTCCCACTTCCTCATGTGTGATCCAAAGAAAAGACAAAGATGTTCACAAATTTTGAAAAAATGTTTTTCGGACCTACGCCTTGGTTGGTACAAGTTTGATTTTTGATGAAACCACTACAGCAGCTGCTGGTATGGAGCAGGAAGTAATGAAGGACTGTCTCAAAGATGAGCGCTAAGACTTCCATATTAAAAAAAAACTGTTTTTTTGTTGCATTAACTACCTATTATAACAATGTTTGTCACTTAAGTAAGGCCTATAATATTATTTTATAAAAATATAAGTTCATTCAAAAAACCATTGTTCGTTTACTTTATGGCTATTTTTACTTTATTTACACGTAAATCATCTTATGTCCACAACAGTTTACACGCAAACCGACTTATTTTCACCGAGTTCGTGCCAAAGGTCTTATTGCCAAAACCAAATCATTTTTTTAAACTATGTTTTAGCTACCCTAACTAGAATCAGTGTTTTAATCTCATGTGTGGAAACAATACTATTGCATATCATTGATTAGAACTCATAATCCTTTTTCAGAGCACTATCACAGGGCTAAAAACTATCAGTTTTTCGCCCTCTCTGAAAAGTTACTTATTTGTGACTTAAATTTGTTTGCATTTTACCTCCCCAAATATAGAAGTCACAAAAAGGTTTAACAGCGCTTGAACTTGATATAATGTACTTTTATATACAATAAAAAGAAGAAAAGATGTATTACTGAGATATATTCAGGAAAGATTCTGTTTTGCAGGAATTTAAAAAAGTATTTAAGGAAAGACAATACAGTCAAGTTTCAATAAGGAATTGATACATGGAACAACAAAGCATATTCTGATTTATAATTAAATGTATATAAAAGCTTACCCCTGTATAGTGATGAAGGTACACCAAACTTCTGACGTAATGTACAGCAATATCATTCTGACAAGTTGGTATGAATCTTGTTGACATGAATGTTCTGGCATAAAGTGATACATTCTCACAACCAACCACATGTATGCATTTAAAAAATTGTTCGTGATCTAATTTCAAATGATTATTATGGATCAGTTGCTCTATAGCATATAGGCAAGTCTTCATTACTAAAACGTGCGAATTCATTATCTCTCTGAAGACAAAGGTAAAGATAGGTTCATAATCTCTGATAATTCTCCTAAAACAAAAAATAAGTCAGACAAAATAACTTTAATTTAATAATAAAATTAACTTTCTTACGTTTTGCAAAGAGAGTAGTACATCCTAAATCCTGCTAACTTATAGAGAGGGTTTGGATCCTTCAGTACTTGATTTAAGTGCTTAACGGCAACATTTGCTTTTCTTTTCCTCAACATGCCATGAATTGTAAATAAGGAAAGTAGTTGTATATAAATCTCAGGGAACAAATTTTTAATTTCTAAAAAATAACAGGATATTAAATTACTCAACGAGCCCTAACAACTATATGTTGGAACAAGTAATTATTTTGCGAATATAATGCCAATTTACCGAAAAAAAGTCTTTTTTAATAATTGTAAATATGAAATTAACAACATTTTTTATAATATATGAAATTATTTTTACAGTTTAATTATTTATTTCATGTTGATTTAAATAATGGTTTGATAGGCAAAAAATGTTGACAACAAAATCTTGAAACAAGAGGTTTTTAACAAATTTTTCCGTAATTTAATAATAAATCCTTTATTTATTGAAATCTGTTTCTACAAATAAAAAAAACAATAATCAATATGTGTATCAAGTAATTAACATAGGGGAGAGCTGTCCAGTGACAGAAATCCTTAAGATAAATATCTAATATATATAAATATTTGAAATATAAATAACAATTTACAAAGACATTTTACTAACATATTAAAAAAAATAGCAATAGATAAAATTATAACAACACACACAATTATAAGTTGTAGGTATATGTAGTATCAGTTGTAGCTATAAAATGATATATACGTTTATGTATATAAAGGTATAGAGAGGTCTAGGGGATCACGTCGTTTTAGTCTTCCTCTCCTTGGTTGCTTAAGTAGGTCTTGGGCAAGTGTATTTGGATGGTTTAGTAGTCTATTTTTGTAAGTGCCACTGAGTGAGACAACGGTGTCTTTAATATTTTGGATCTGAAGATCTCGGTGTATAACATAATTGGGCACGTACCACGGTGCATTGGTAATATGTCTCAAAACTTTAGATTGGAAACGTTGAAGTTTCAGTAAGTGAGAATTAGATGCTGTACCCCATATCTGTATACCGTAGGTCCAAACTGGCTTTAGAACACATTTATACAGTAATAATTTATTATGTAGACTTAGTTTGGATTTTTTATTCATGAACCAATACATTTTCCTGTATATTAATCCTAGTTGCAGTCGCTTTGTCCAGATGTGCTTTCCCCAATTTAGTCGGCTGTCAAAATGTATTCCCAAGTATTTAACATCACTTTTTTTGGGTATTATGGTATTGTTTATGCACACAGATGGTACACTCTCTTTGCGTAAAGTAAATGTTATATGTGCTGATTTGCTGCCATTTACTTTAATTCGCCACAGTTTTAACCATTTCTCCAGTTCATTTAAATGAATTTTTAAAATTTTGACAGGCTGTAACAGGAACCGAGCTAGAAACCATTATCACAGTATCATCTGCATAGGTAGCGATTGCGCTGTTTACTCTTGTGGGAATATCTGCCGTATAGAGCAAGTATAAAGTTGGTCCCAATATACTACCCTGAGGTACTCCCGATAGAATTGGAGATATGTTTGATACTGCTTCATTGCATCTGACCTGGAAATATCGATTGGTAAGATAGGATCTCAGAAGAGCATACAGAGGATGAGGAAAGTGAGTTTTTATTTTAGATAGCAGCCCCTCATGCCATACTTTATCAAATGCTTGTGAGACATCCAAAAAGGCTGCAGTGCAGTATTCTTTCTTTTCAATCGCATCTCTTGCTACTTTGGCAACTCTATGTACCTGCTCAATTGTTCCATGTTGTTGCCTGAATCCAAACTGATAATCAGGTATTAACTTTTGTCTGTCGATTATAGAATTCATTTTCTGAAGGAGTATCCTCTCAAATATCTTAGAGATAATGGGAAGCAAACTGATTGGACGATAGGATGATAGTTCTGTTGGATCTTTATTTGGTTTCGGTATTAGAATAACTTGTGCCATTTTCCATTGAAACGGAAAATAGCCTAACTTTAGTATAGCGTTAAATATGTACATAAGCAACCGAAATCCTTCTTCGGGTAAATTTTTGCAGATTTTTCCCGATATTAAATCATACCCTGGAGCTTTTTTAGTATTGAGATGTTTAACTAACTCTTTTATTTCGTTAATTTTGATATTTTCTATAGGAGGTGACATCTGGTAGGGTGCATCTAAGTTCTTGTGAATGAATTCTTCTTCTTCCTTTGAGATAGTTCTGGAGTGTGGTTGAAAAACTTGGCTGAGATGATTAGCGAATGCTTGTACTTTATCTTCATTAGCCTTGGCCCAATCACCGTCTTTATTTCTAATGGGACCGTCATGCTTAATCTGATGTTTAAGTTTCCTAGAGAGTTTCCAAATAGAGTAGTTTGTGTCATCCGTCGCAGTAAGACTTTCAAGAAATTCATTTATGCCCTGATCTTTGTATTTGTGTAATTCTCTTTTAAGCAAACGAGTAGCCCTATTCAGTTCAGTTTTGTTCTCAGGAGATCTGGAAGTTTGCCACTGTTTTCTTAGTTTTCTCTTTTCGTTGATTAAGATTTTTATATGATGTGGATATGGTTTACAGTTATTACCCCGATTTAGATCTGGAGTTGCTCTCCAAGCTGCCTGTTGAATGATTGATGTAAGGTGATGAACTGCTTCCTCAATATTTTCACTTGTTTTAAGAGGAAGATTTAAGTTAATTGTGTTTTGAATATTAAATCTGAACAGACTCCAATTTGTTTTATGATTTGAAAACGTGGGGTATTTATTTGTATTATATACATGTTCCATCACATCAATAAATATGGGAGAATGGTCCGACGAAAGGTCAAAAGAAGGTTTAATGTCTAAAAAGTTGTTACTTATTCCTTTTATGATACCAAAATCGATGAGATCGGGTATTTTATTTCTATCTGTAGGCCAGTAGGTTGGCTGCCCAGTAGAAATTGGAGTCAAGTTATTTTCGTTTAAACTTTTAATAAGTTCTCTTCCGCGAGTTGTTATCAGTCTTGAACCCCATCTTGTATGTTTTGCGTTAAAATCACCTACTGCAATAAAGCGATGACCAAGCACTTCGAAATAACTAGAGAAATGGTCCTCTTTAATTATTTTACCAGGGGGACAATACGCAACTGACATCGTTATGTGCCCTTTACTGAGTTCTACAGATATAGAGGTTGCCTGAATGTTGATTTCACACACTTTATTTATTTCGTGATGTTTTATATTACTTCTAATGATTAACGCAGTTCGACCATGACCTTTACCCATTGGGTGTGGTGTGACATAGGTGCAAAAATCTGGCATACTAAAATGGCTTTTGTTTGTCATATGAGCTTCAGAGACCATCATGATATCAAGATTGTGTAACTTTATAAATGCCTTAATCTCCTCACTATGGTTTGAGGCCGTTTGCGTTCCAATATTTAATTTTAATTTTGGGGTTGAACATTAAGTTTTGATAACATCGTTATGAGAAGGTCGAACATTTTATACATTCTATCCATAAGTTTTTGGACCATCAATTCTAAACTGTTACTTGTTTCTGTTGTATTCAGTTTTTCCTGTGTAGTTTTTGAGACGGATGCGGTAGTATGATTTGGTCCCTCCACAGCGTTTGCATATGTTACAGATGGGCGACGAGTACTTGAGGAACTTGGCGGGCAATGAGATTGTATTTTCTCCCTCAATTTTGGAAATTGTTTTCTTTGGAGCTCTTTGTAGACCAAACAGCCTCTGTAGGATGCAGGATGATTTTCTTGGCAATTTGTACACTTCACATCTTTAATTCGTGTTGGATTTGGACATTCGGATGACAAGTGATTGGCTGTACATTTTACGTGTCGTGGCATTCTGTTGCAATATTTGTGAGTGTGTCCGAAATGTTGACACCTGTGGCATTGCGGAATTTCTCTTTTGGGATGTGGTGGTTCAACTTCAACTATTGAGTTAAGTAGTTTATTGACTTTATAAATGTCTTTATTGTTTGCATTAGCAACCAATTCTACGTGGAAAAGTGGTAGTTGCTTTTTATCCTTTATTCGTTTTATGTTGGAGATATTTTTGACTGAATGTCCTAGTTCTTCAAGTGCCCTTTTAATCTCATTAGTTTCTGTTGAGGGGTGAATATTGCGAATAACCACTCGAAATCCACGGTCCTGTTTTATTTGATATGTGTGAAACTGCGTTTTTTTTGCTGTTAAGCTTTTAATAATATCCGAATAGTTTTCAGGTGAATCTACTTGGAGTTTAATTTGGTTATCCCTAAGGATCTCTTTTAACAAATAAAAATAAAAATTAATCAGGCGTAGCGTCGCCCTTAGCTTAAATAACAGCCTGAACTCTAGTAGGCATTGTATAAACTAGGCCTTCACAGAATTCAGGAATGAAACTATCCCATATTTCTTGAAATTTAGCACGTAGTTGTGACAAAGTACGCTGGGAGTTATTTCTTAGGCGTTGTTTGTTTCTATGCCAAAATTTTCTATTGGATTAAGATCCGGGCTGCTAGAAGGATGTGATAAAACTTTAATGTCATGTTCTCCCATCCATTTTTTGGTATATTCAGCCGTATGGCATGAGACTCCTTCCTGATGAAAGATAAAATCTCCGGATGGATATAACTTTGCCGCACTTGGTAGAAGCGAATATTTAAACATATCTTGATATTTGGCTGCGTTTACTATGCTTTCAATAAAATGCAAAGTTCCCAACCCTTTGGTCGACATACAACCCCACACCATTATGCCCTGTGGCAACTTTACAGCCGTTTTGAGAAAATCCTTATGAAATGCTTCTGTTGACAATCCTTATGACAACATTGTCTCAGTTATGTTTGATCCACGAGATATTTGATTTAGCTCAAATTTAACATTCCTTTTTTGAGTTTTTCTTCCATCGATGGAAACTAATTTTTGTTGTTCCTTTTTAGGAATTATTTTCCTGGAACTTTCCATAACTTCTATTCAACATATAAAAACAGCAAATCACAGTAACAAGTTCGTTTCATTCAACATGTACGAACACAGTAGCATATACAAAGAACCTCATGCAGTAGTTATCAATTTATAACGTGAAGACAACAGCCTGCAAATTTTACTGGGCAGCTCTCTTCAGCAGCCTTTTAGTGAAGATAAATAACCACCACAGAGAAGAATAAGTATTTATTTATTAATTCATTGTATTTCGGCAGAATTGAGATTT